TGGAGCGGTTGGTCCAGCGGTGGAACCAAGTGGACAGCATAATCCTCCTAAGTATACCGAGGACTTGCGACATTCGCATCCTCCCCAGATGTGCAGGAGGCCGCTAGCAAGGCGGCCGAATCTGGCGGAGTAGAAGGTGGATTCGCCTCACCTTCCGCGGAGCTCAGTTTCCCGAGCTGAGGAGGGGTCGCACATCCTCCTTGCCCCTATCTTGGCACAGGGAGGTCTTGTGCTTGGTGCTGTTGCACCAATAGCAGCTGTCGTAGCGGCTGCGGACCTTGTACTCCGCCTTGGTCAAGCCAAACTTGACCCATGGAAACTGTCCTGGCTGTCCATTTCCGGCCTGCGATGCGGATTTCGCCTTCCCATTGTTGCGGGACTTGTTGGTGCTTCGCTGCTGGACAGCAGCCACCTGATCTCCGTCACTTGATGTTGGAGTGGTTGCTGGGTTATCTCCATAGTCCTGTTGGACTGCAGCGAAGTGCTGCTGTCGCGGACCAGTTCGTACCTTCTCCACATAGGTCGGCTGCCATGATGTTGATTTCTCGTGTGCAGCTGACCTGTTGGTCTTGGTGATCTCCCTCGCTTTGTCAATGATCTCCGCGAAGGTTGAGTACTGCTTGCGATCACCAAGAGCCTGGCTCAATGCAGCACAGGACCTGTTGTAGAACTCACGACGTAGATGCTCGAATGGTAAGTTCAGATTGGGCACAGCCGCAATCTTCTGCCACTCAGTGAGCCAGTCCCGTGTTGCTGTGTTGCCCTGTGACATGGTGAACAGCYGGTKGATGGCGAGTGCTGGCGCGTCGTCGACGATGAACCGCTTCTTCCACAACCGTGTCAGTTCCTCCCATGTGATTACGTCCTTGAACTCYGGTACGTCGACGCCGTGGGAGGTTGCCAGGTGGGTCAACCAGGTCTGGCATCCGCCCTTTGAGTTCAGGAACAGGGCGCCGATGTACGCATGCTTGTCTACGGGCAGAATCCTGAGTTGCGTTGTGAATGCTTCCCACCAGAGGACCGGATCTTGCTGCGTGTAGTCGTCGAACCTCTCCAGAGTGAACGTTGGCATCTTATACATCTTCGGATTGCCATTTGCGTTCGTCGTCTGTAGCTGCTGGACCTCGGTCTTCAATGTATGCAGCTGACTGCTGATGGTGGTGGTCGGCGCAGCGAAAGTGCTGATGTCGCCGAGCATTGCCACTACGTGGTCAACGCGGTCCTCCAGTTGGCGGCTAGAGGGTGCACTGCTGGAAGCCCCAGCAGCTGGTCCTGGTACGGCCTGTTCCAGGTCCAACAATCGGGCATTGAGTGCCCGAGTTGCATCCTCGTGGCCCTGCACTATGCGGCGGAGCGTCGCCAACTCCTGATGCTGTTGCGTCAGGTCCTGGTACTGTCTCTCCAACTCTGACCGTTGGTAGTTGCAAGCATACAACAACCGCGTCACGAGTTTGGAGAGGAACTCCTTGTGCTTCTCTTCCGGTGTTGCCTCGTCGCCGTTCGGTTCAAAATGCCAGTACTCGAGTCTGTCGATGCTGTTGGCTTCATGCCGCTGCAGCAGATCCTGGGCTTCCTTGCGGCGAGCCTGGGCATCTGCGTCTGCATCGGCCTGTAGCCGCAGCTGTTCTGCTTTTGCTGCCTCTTCAGCCTGTACGCGGATAGCCTCGGCTGCCAGCAGGCGTTGTTCCTCAGCCTCAATCTGAGCGTGGAAACGCTGCTTGTAGGCGGCAAGGGACTCGTTGGGCAGTTGCCCTGGCAGGCCCGTCATGTTGCTGACGTGGCACTGCTGACGTGGCACTTTGTCTGATGTGGCACTGTTTGACGTGGCACTGTTTGACGTGGCACTATCTGATGTGGCACTGCTGATGTGGCACTGCTTACGTGGCACTGTCTGACGTGGCACTGCTGATGTGGCACTGCTTACGTGGCACTGTGTCTGACGTGGCACTGTGACCTGGCACTGCTGATCTGGCACTGTGACGTGGCACTGCTGATGTGGCACTGCTGACGTGGCACTGTGACCTGGCACTTTGACGTGGCACTGCTGATCTGGCACT